TTACACTCTTTTGAATATCCCATTTCTCATGTTGGGAGGAGTTTTAGGTAACCGTTTCGGATTATTAGAGTCTCAACCTCCATCTGCTGTTAAAAGAAACCCCCGAGAAATTCCACAACAGAACTGGTATCGGAGAAAACTGTACCAGGTTTTTCTTGGAGGCCTTGTACCTTTCAGTGCAGTTGTCCTTGAGTGGCATCAACTCTATTCAAGCTTGTGGGGATTCAAAATATATACATCGCCTCAAATATTGCTTTTCACATTTGTTGTGCTCATGTTTTTATGTGCGAGTGTCGGTATTATCTTGACCTACATTCAGCTCTCTGGTGAAGATCATGAATGGTGGTGGAGGTATGTATTTCTTTACTGTACTGTGTTCTTTTCCATCCACGCATGCGAAATTGATTTAGACTAGTATGATAACAAGCCATCGCAGATACGCTATTCAAACGGTCACAGTATACGGTCATAGAAGGAAATGTGAACCATGATTGGCAAAGAAAATTTTCCTTTCAGAACCATAACTTAATTTATAATAATTGTTTGCAGATCGATATTGTGCGGAGGATTCACCGCAATATTCATGTATGGGTATGGAGTATTGTTCTATCTCAGGTCTGAAATGACCGGGTTTCTGCAGTTAAGCTTCTACTTGGGATACTCTGCTCTGTTATGTTACGCACTCTTCTTGGTTCTTGGAACCATAAGTTTTTTGGCCTCTTGGATGTTTATTCGCCACATCTACCGTTCTGTCAAGCTTGAATAGCTCGGGTCCTCTTCTTCACATGACTAATCTCTGTATTAGTATCTTTTGTGTTTGACACATGAATAACAATAGTGGATTTGTTGCCAATGAACAGCTTAGAATGAGGCTAACAGTTTGGTATTACTTGTTGATTATTTCATGTTTCTATTAAGGAATGGAAAAATGATCTTTATAGAAATAGAAAAAGGCAGGTACATGTTGCTTTTCATCCCACAGAGTTAGTCTCATGTTATATCACCATTTCAACAACCAACTACATTACTTAGAAGTTACATATGCAAGAAAATAAAGCAATCCAAGCACACAATAAGAATAAACTAAAACAAAACCATCACTTCACTTGCCTCCTATACGGTTCGGATGGGAAATGGGTGGCTGCACAACTGCATCGTCTCCCTTTGAATCCGAAGGACCCGATCCCTTAAACTCGCTCTTCATGCTTCCTGACTTGTGTTCATCAGCAACCACACTTACTCTCTCTGTTGCTTCTTCCTCTTTAGTTATGTACACACCA